TGTTCTAGGGTGACTCAGTCCCTCTGGCTCTGCTGGGAAGAATCACATTTGTTAATTGCACTTGTTCTCGTCTGTTTCTAAAAATTTAATTTTTTCTTTAATTTTCATTGTAATCTATTGTTTTTATTTTACTTATTTTTCATTTTGCTTAATTTTTATTTTACTTATTTAATTTTTTGTTTTGCTTAAACTTTATTTTACTTTTTAATTTAATTTAAATTTTTAAAATGAAAAAAATAATGTAATTTATTTTACTTATTTTTTATTTTGCTTAATTTTTATTTTATTTATTTTTTATTTTACTTATTTTTTATTTAATATTTTATTTTGCTTAATTTTTATTTTATTTTACTTTTTTATTTAATTTTCATTTTAATCTATTGTTTTTATTTTACTTATTTTTTATTCTGCTTAATTTTTATTTTTTACTTTTTATTTAATTTTCATTTTTAATTTATTGTTTTTATTTTACTTATTTTTTATTTTGCTTAATTTTTATTTTATTTTACTTTTTTATTTAATTTTTATTTTAATTTATTGTTTTTATTTTATTCTCTGCTTAATTTTTATTTTATTTGTATTAAATTTTAATTTTTTATTATATTTATTTGACTTATTTTGTTTTATTTTTATTTATTTCAATTTTAATTTTTATTAATATTTATTTGTTTTTATTTTATTTTTGTTTCCTATTCTTTTATTTATTTTTATTTCCTGTTCTTTTGTTTATTTTTATTTCACTTTATTATTTTTATATTTCATTTCACTCCAATTTTTTGATTTCTCTCTGCTTTTTTAATTCTTATTTTATTGTAATTTTTATTAGGATTTGATTGTTTTAATTATTTATTATATTTATTTTTTTATTAATATTTTTTAATTTTTATTTCCTACCTATTTCATTTCAAAACGACTTTGGNACATAGGCCATTCATCATCGACCTGTGGCCTTACTCCCAAGTCGACCCCTGTTCTGTAGCTGTTCCCTTCTCCTGGCAGCTCTGCGCATGTGAACACTTGGAACAGGCTCCAGCTGTTCTTCTGCCCCACTGATCTCTGACTCCAAAGGCAGCTGATAACTGGCATATGGCTCTGGCCCCCTCTCTGCCTCTGACACAGAGCCCTCATCAGAGCCTTCCCCAGACTCCAGGACTGGCCTATGTTCCTTCCCAACCTCCTCACTGTCCAAGTCTTCCAACAGCTGCACACGCTGTGACTTGTGACCACTGCAGCATTCCAATGGTTGGCAACTGGTTCCTGTTTATGACGTTTGCTGTGTCCCTTTTTGCGACCTTCTGACAAACAAAGTCAATGGGGAAGCCAGATTCGCTTAACCAATTGTGTTACTGACTTATCAACTGTGGTCAGAAAATGGGGCCAAACTCGCTTATCAATGGTCTCATTTAGCAACAGAAAATTTGGGGCTCAATTGTGGTCGTGAGTCAAGGGCTACCTATACCTTAGACTGAGTTTTGATGGTAGGTCAAGAACTTGTCTAAGTAACCCACTTCAAAGCTCCGTTTTTGCTGGCTGAGAGTTGCAGGTGGCCATTGCAGCTGAAAAGGAGCTCAGGAGCTGGTTTTTACTGGCAGAGCATTAGGGCCATCACAGGTGCCCCCTACACGAGTGACATCGAGCTGGCCATGCCCACCCTGGCCACGGCCCCCATGGCCAAACACAACCCTGATGAGGCCCTCAACAAAATTGAGTTTGACACCCCGGATGTAACCAATGTAACGTTTACTCCCCTCCATCCAAGCACTGAGAGGGTGAGGAGCAGGGGTGGGATTGAAAACTATTAGCAGCTGGTTCTCTGCCCGGCTGCTGCGTGGGCATGGCCTACTTGATCTCCTGCACTACAGCAGGTGGGGGCACTTTTTTCGGCCTCTGGGAGGAGAAAAATGGCCTCCCCCTGGCTCTGGAGGCCAGAACCGGGCCCGTTTCCAGAACTTTCAGGAGGCTTGTTTTTCCCACCCTGAGACTTCTGCGAGGGGCCTGTGCTTACCTGGCTTTGTGGAGACTCCTAGGAGGTGCAGAGTGGGAGGGGCGGGGCCAGCCAGTCCTTGCAACTACCAGTTCAGCGAACCAGATGTAAAATTAGCATCTGGTTTGCCCCCAAACAGTCCAATCTGCTGAATCCCACCCCTGGTGAGGAGGCATGAATTACAACCTCCCTGGTTTATTCTTGGGAAAGATGTTAACTCCTTTTCTGAGTCAAGTGTAGGGAGGGGGGAAACCCGACCCCATTATTCTGGAGGGGAGGGAAAGAGAGGCTCTTTCTTACACTGACATCACAATATTCCCCAGCGTAGTTGGCACCACAGATACACCAGAACCGATTCATGGCGTGCTGGCAGGTCCCCCCGTTTTTGCAGGGGTTGGGGTCGCAGTCGCTGACGTTGATCTGGCACCTGGAAATAAAGCGAGGTAGGGATCAGCCACTGCCTTAAAGAAACGGGGAACGGGGTGAGGATCCAAGAGGCCAAACGGCTTTTAAAGAGCCCCCTTTAATCCTGGAAAGACGGGGGTTGGCGGTCAAGAACGTCACCGTACTTCTTTCCCGTGTAGCCGTCCTTGCAGCTGCAGTTGGCTCCCCAAGGCCCACTCAGGCATTTGCCGCCGTTCAAGCAGGTGAAGTTCTTGCCGCATTGTTCAGGGGGGAAGGGCCACCTGGAATTTAAGAAAAGAAAGAGGAGAGGAACCTTGATTTAGAAACCAGACATTATATAGATGTGCTTCAAAAGGTTAACTATCAACTTGCTCTTGTAGCCATAGGGTCCCGTGATGATGAACCTGTGGCACGCGGAGCCCTCTCTGCGGGCATGCCAGTCGTCGCCCCAGCCCAGCTCCTGCTGGCCTTTGGGTATCTACCATGCATGTGGGGCGGGGGTACAGCACAGGCAGGGGACATGTGCACGCATGCACGGGGGATGGGCCCTTGTTCCTTAGCTGTTCCCTTCGTCTGGCAGCTCTGTGCACTGGGAACAGGCTCCAGCTGTTCTTCTGCCCCACTGATCTCTGACTCAGAAGGCAGCTGATAACTGTTGAATGGCCCTCACCCCATCTCTGACTCCAACACAGAGCCCTCATCCGAGCCTTCCCCAGACTCCAGGACTGGCCCAGGTTCCTCCCCAACCTCCTCACTGTCTGAGTCTCCCACCAGCTCCACCAGTATATGTCAAGTTCCTATGTGGCTCACTGTCCTCACCTCTGCTGTCCCACTGATTTATGTAGTCAGACAAGCGATTGTCCTCCTGCACTGAGGTTAAGACTGAGATGACTAGATGGTTTGGTTGGAAAAATGTCTATGGAGATTCTCAATCATCCAAGTCATGGTTGTCCCAAAGATGCTTTCCACCCGCAACCCCCCCCCCCAAGCCAACTGGACTTAATTGTTTTTCCCCTTGAAAACATTTCACTTCTCATCCAAGAAGCTTCTTCAGTTGTTGGATGAACTTCTGGAACTGAAGAAGCTTCTTGGATGAGAAGCGAAACGATTTCAAGGAAAAGAACCAAGAAAACCCAGTTGGTATTTTGGAAAAGTAGGTTTGGGACATCTGGTTGGAAAGAGAGATTGAGGTGGGATTCCCGCACCTCCTACCTTGTGTCCCAACTCCGAGAAAGAGCAAGAAAAGAAAACCATCTCGAGAATTCTCATTCTTGCCAGTTCAGACTTCCTACAGACTTACTCGCAGTGTGGGCCAGAGTATTCTGGTGGGCATTTGCAGGAGTAGCTGTAGACGTCATCCACACAGGTCCCTCCATTCTGGCACTGGTGCCTCATGCAGTCATCTACGTTGATGTGGCAACGTTTCCCGATGAAACCCTTATGACAGATGCACTGGAAGTCCCCCACTAGGTCTTCGCACTTGCCGTGAAGACACGGGCTGGATTTACAATCATCTGTGTTGGCCTCACACAGCGGCCCTTCCCACCCAGGCTGGCAGGCACAGTGGAAGGCGTTGAAGAGGTCCAAGCAGGAGCCTTCGTGATGACATGGACTGGAAGAGCAGATGTCTTCTCCTTGGCAGCCCAGATGAAGCGGCCTGCTGGACACCTGAACGAACTGTTCTGGCTGTGGGTAAAAAGGGTGGCTGGCCAGGGGCAAAAACAGCCCCCCGATGTCTACGTGTCCCAGGCAGCCCGTGAAGTTTTCAGCCAAGACGATAAATGCTTTGCTTCTTAAGAAATCCAGGTTGCCGGCATTACCCAGGAGAGTGGTATTGGTGGAATCATCCAGTTGGAGGTGCCACCTCGATGAATAGGCCAAGGGCTCTTCCATGGTCAACGAGAGGGTGTGCCAGGAGCCATCAGAGATGGGCACGGGCCTGAGAAAGTTTGCTCCCTCCACTCCATTCCCACTCCGGATTTCAACCAGGAGTGAAGAGTTTTGAATAGCCACCAGAAGAGAGTCTACTTCCTCTATGGCTTGTATCAAGACGGCATCACTGTCCCGCGTTCTGAAATCCAGGCGGAGGCTGTGAAGAGCTCTGGTGACGGACCTATTTGCCGTGAATTCAACCGCGTCGTGCTCGTCAAATGTGGCATGGGCCAGACCTGCAGGATGACATGGTAACCAAAGATCATGAGTGGAACAGTTGTCCAGTGGAGAACACCAAGGAGCAGGGGTGAAATTCTGCAGTTTCTGACAGATTCTGGAGAATTGGTAGTGGAAAATTTGAGTAGTTTGGAGAACTGGCAAATACCACCTCTGGCGGGCCCCAGAGTGGGGAGGGAATGGAGATTTTGCAGTATCCTTCCCATGGAGTGGGGAGGGAATGGGGATTTTGCAGTATCCTTCCCATGGAGTGGGGAGGGAATGGGGATTTTGCAGCATCCTTCCCAAGCCACGCCCATAGAACTGGTAGTTAAAAAAATTGAATTTCACCACTGCCAAGGAGCACTTCAAAGATCTCCACCAGGAAGTTCAAGGAAGATGAACGTTGGTCAAAGACCATTCTACGGCCATCACCAGGAGTGAAATACTAAGCTGACCAAGATGCATAAACAGAGTTCCTTGCAAAGAGAAATCAATCAAAGGAAAATGTGTAGAGATTCTCAGTCCTCCAGGTCATGGTTGTCCCAGAGGTGGTTTTTTTTCCAGGAGGCAACTGGACTTTCGTGGTGTGTTTTTTTTAAATTTATTGAACAAACATTAAAAACATTGGATATAGAGCAACCTTTCTGGCTTTGTCATTTCCACACATATTTTAACATAACAACAAATACAGTTTCTACTTATCATGCATAGCTACATTGATCTTATTAACACAACCTTTATCCTCCTTGATACAGTTATCTCTGTTTTATCCAGTTCCAGTTTTACAATCCTCAAAATATTCTGTCCTTTTCCTCCTTTCCAACCGTTGATACATTTTGTTCCAAATTTCATAATATTCTGTCTCGTCTCTATTTTTGATTTCTAGTGTCAGTCTGTCCATTTCTGCACAGGTCAAAATTTTTCTTTATTACCTCTTCTTCGGTGAGGGCATCTCTGTTTTTCCAATTTTGCACATATACCAATCTTGCTGCGGTTATCACACGGAGCATTAAATACGTCACTCCTTCACTATATTTTTTTTCTTTTATTATTCCTAATAGGAATAGTTTTGGTTTCAAATGTATCTTTTGATCTAGCATCTCTTCTAACCATGTCTTTATCTGATGCCAAAAATCCTTGGCTTTTGTACATAACCACCACATATGATGGAAAGATCCTAAAGCCAAGTTACATTTCGAACACTGCGAAGGATACTGGGGAATGTAAGGATTTATGCTCCTTGCAGACAGCTGGTCATTTGCATCCTTTTAGAGCAGGGCTGTCAAACTCNATTATATTATATTATATTATATTAAATGTTAGGCCATTTAATCGTTGTGGCCAGTGGTGGGATTCAAATAATTTAACAACCGGTTCTCTGCCCTAATGATTTCTTCCAACAACCAGTTCACCAAACTGCTCAGAAAGTTAACAACTGGTTCTCCTGAAGTGGTGTTAACCGGCTGAATCCTACCATTGGTTGTGGCACTCTCTTCTCTCTGTCGTCCTTCATCTTGGATAAGAACCCAAAACAAATCCTGTTATTCTACCAAAGCCAAGCAAATGAATTCCCCACCTACCACCGTTCCGATCTTTGTTTCTGGAAATATTTTTATCTCTTACCCAACTTCCGGCTGTCTCATGGAGGTTAATAGGGAACCGTGTCGTGCTACTCACCGTAGGAACAAGTGTGTCCTTCGTAAGGCCGGGAACAGTGACAACGGAAGTCCGTCCAGAAGTCAATGCATTGGCCACCGTGCGAACAAGGCTGAGATTGACACCACTCCGTCCTTTCACAACCCAGCTGAAATCCGGGAAGCTGTAGACCTTCCACCTCCTCTGGCAGGAGTATCTTGGAGTCAATCTGCAGGTCTTCCAGGCAACCGGTGAAGTGTCCCGTACAGTTGATCATCAACGCCTCCTCAACTCCTCCAACGTATATATTCAGAAAGGAGGGCAGAAGAGGGGTGGTCTCGCCAAGGGGATGGCTGAACAGGCAGATGCCTCCTTGGCAAGCTTCGTGCCACAGCCTGAACTCAAGAGACTCCTGAAGGGAGACCTCTGCCTTGTGCCAGTGGCCATCGTTCACCGGCGGGGACTCCAGCGTGAATGATACATTGGCCTCCTGGGTCAAGAACATCACCTGGAGAAGGCCAGCATAGAGTTCCAGGAGCAGGTGCTCGGTTTGGTGGCCTCTGTAGAAAAGGAGCCCGTTGAGAAGAGTGGTCCGGAACCGGAGAGCCACGCTGGCTCCGTGCTCACTTGTGTTCTTATGATCCCCAGCAGATGCGTTGATTAAGAGGTAGCCATTGTCGGTGAGGGAGAAGGTGGTTGGGGTGGAGCAGGTGGACCCATAAAATCCAGGGGGACACTGGCACAGGTAGCCATGGGCCTCTGATTGGAAGGTGGGGACGCACACAGCCCCATTTTGGCAGTGGTGGGTCTTGCACCCCGTGAGCTCCACAGAACAGTTCTTCCCACCCCAGGCTACCCCGTCTGGGTTGGAGAGGCAACGGCAGATATAGTCGGCGACGGCATCTTCGCAGCTACCTCCATTTTCACAAGGGTCGTCTTCGCATTCATCAATCTCGTTGGCACATTCGATCCCTGGCGGAGAGAAAAGGGAAAGGGGAAAGAAGAATGAGCTTGTGAGTTTGCACAACCATACACAGTGAAACTGTCACAAAGAGGAGGAGGTTGGTTTATTTTCCAAAGCACCAAGAAGGCAGAACAAGGAACAAGGGATGGAAACCAACCAAGGAAAGAAGCAACCTGGAATGAAGGAGAAACTTCCTGACAGTGAGGACAATTAACCAGTGGAACAGCTGGCCTCCAGATGTTGCGGGTGGCTCCATCACAGGAGGTTTTTTAAGAAGAGACTCAAGTCACTTATCTGGAGCGGTACGGTGGCCCAGAGGTGGAGATCCTAGGTAGAGGCAGACAATTTCTCTCTTTGGGTGACAATGAGAATATATCTGCTGAACAAAACTCCGCACTGGCAACAGGGAAGGGCATCCGGCCAATAAACACTCTGCTAGCTCCATTCGGTTGCCCAGACTCCACCCCGCAAGGGATTAGGGGGTCGTTAAAAGAAGATAATGACCAGGCAGTCGCTTATCTGAAATGGTATAGGGCTATGATAGTGAACCAGTGGCACACGTGCTCAAAGTAGCACAAGGAGCCATGTTGCCTGGCATGTGTAGCATCACCCGTTCCTCTTCTGGGTTTATGACATGTGCGCGCAACAATCAGCCTCATGCGTGTGGCCATGCCGGAAACTGGAAGAACTATGGTCTTCCATTTTCCAGTGTGAGCATGAGCGCTGTTCAAGTTTTTAAGAAGAGACTGGATCTCCACCTATCTGAAATGGTACAAGATCTCCCGCTTGAGCGGTGGATTAGAAGACCTTCAAGGTGCCTTCCAGCTCTACTCCTTATTGATTGATTGATTGATTGATTGATTGATTGATTGATTGATTGATTGAAGTTCTTCTCTTAAGCACCATTCAGGCAAATTTCCACTCAGGTGGAGACTGGATTTCCTTTAGTCCTGGGAGGCTACAGACATTGCAGGCTAAATAGAAGTGTGTGTGGGGGGGGTATCCATAAGTATTTGTGGACTGTTAAGAGTCAGTAGCCCTGATTAAGCAGCTTCTGGCCCCTTCCAGCTCCTCAGGAACATTCCCAATAATCCCCGAGAATGCTGGCCAGATAAAGGAAGTTCTGGATTATTTCGCTTAAGAGCCTTATCCTTGCCCAGAGGAAGGAATTGGAACCCAACCAAACACAATTTGCAAAACTTCCTCTTACGCTATGTTGAGGTAGGTTGCAGCCAATTAAAGTTGGATAAGGCCAATCTTTGGTCAACCTCACCAACTTTTAAGATGCGGTGGACTTCGACTCCCAGAGTCCCCCAGCCAGCATGCTGAGCTCCAGTCATCTTCTCGAACGTATTGGGGTCAAGAAATGGCAGGATATTGCATGAATTAATCCATGCCAATGCAAAGCAGGAACAGTTAGGGCAGGGGTCGGCAACTTGTGGCTCTGGAGCTGCATGTGGCTCTTTCATCCCTCTGTTGTGGCTCCCTGTCGCCGGTTGGCTCCACAATTTGATAGGGCTTTTGTTTAGGACAGGTTGTTTAGAGGAAAAAGGACAACATGCTAAGAGGAGACTCTATGGTGGGAGAAGTGGACTTCTGATCAACAAAGGAAAAAGCACGCCGCGCTAGGAGGAGACTCTATGGTGGGGGAACCAGACTTCCAGTTAGCAGAGGAAAAAGGACACCGTGCTAGGAGGAGACTCTATGGTGGGGAAAACGGACTTCCGGTCAGCAGAGAAAAAAGGACGTCGTGCTAGGAGGAGACTCTATGGTGGGGGGAACTGGACTTCTCATCAGCAGAGGAAAAAGGATGCTGTGCTAGGAGGAGACTCTATGGTGGGGGAGCCGGACTTCTGGTCAGTAGAGGAAAAAGGACGCCGTGCTAGGAGGAGACTCTATGGTGGGGGAACCTGACTTCTGGTCAGCAGAAGAAAAAGGAGACTCTATGGTGGGGGAACAGGACTTCTGGTCAGCAGAAGAAAAAGGACACTATGCTAGGAAGAGGCTCTATGGTGGGGAAACTGGACTTCTGGTCAGCTCCAGAATTGAACGGGGGGCATCTGGTTAGGACCTTTGTGGCTCTTTGAGAGTTTATGGTTGCCAACTCCTAAGCTAGGGAAAGTCCTTCCTCCCCCCTAGTTCCTTGAGTCCCGAAATCTTAGTCCCGAGTGAGTTTTGGGATCCAGAGTGCAACAGCATGAGTGAATGGGGCTGCTGGGGGTTCGCAGGGGGTTGGGAGAACCTCAAGATTCTGTGCAGTTCGGAGAACCCCCAAATCCCAATCCTGGCTGGCCCCACCACCCTGCCCTTCCCGGGAGTCCTCATGCAGCCCATTTTGGATTCAGGTAAATGCAGGGCACACGCAGAGCCCAGGGAGGCCGTTTCCGCCCTCCCAGAGGCTAAAGGAAAGACTCCGGAGCCTGAGGACAGCAAAACACCTCCCACCATGGTGCAGGAGGCCAACAAGGCCACGCCCAACATGGTCACACCCACCCAGCAGCCAGGCAGAAAACTCCTTGCTAAAATTTTTGAAGCCCACCCCTGGATCAGAGGAAGCATAGACCCCCCCCCTCCCAGCTGCATAATGGGTGGAGAAAGACACTCCCTAACTTCTCAAAGCTGTAAAAAGGACGTTGAGAGCTTCATCATCCTTGCAAGATTCTGAAATGCAGCTTTGCAATACAGTAGAATTAGCTCGCCTCGTCGTGTTAGTATTTTTTTTCCTGGCCCGGACGACAATTGGAAGAGGCCAACTAGAAGCCTCTTTTCCCTGTTCCCATCGGACCTCCGTTCAGAAGAGAAAATAACTTTCCTTTTTCACATAAACCCTCATTCCCAAAATAAGGTTCTCCTAAGCTGACACGGCTTAAATCGGGGTGGGGAGCGATATTATCTCCGAAGCTTCTACCCGATGTCAAATTAATCCCCACAGTTCTCTCGGGCTCCCTTGTTAGTGGCCAATTAAGAATGGAGCTTTCCCTCTGGGAAGCCATGTTTTGATTTCTTCTTTGTTTGTTTTGCCACGGTGGAGGAGATCTGTTGCTGTGATGGCTGGCACCCAGCCTGCCCTGATCACGTCTCTTCACAACTGGGCTACACAAGGAAGCCAACTCACGCCTTGGAAGAGTAGCTAAGAGGGGATAAAGGATCAGTAGTCATTCCTCCTTCCACTGTGGCCTCCCATGGCAGATTTTGAGCCGTGGATGTCTGTTGAGAAGGAGCCTTTTACCGAATGCCACAAGCCAGCATTAAGCCATGAAGCCACAGAAAGGAGAAAACTCTCCATTAGGGCAGGTGTAATATTGCTCAGAAGGGACGTTCAGTGCAGTGGTGGGTTTCAAAAAATTTTGGAACCTACTCTGTGGGTGTGGCCTCCTTTGTGGGAAGGGCCTGCCCGACCATGTGACCTGGTGGGAGTGGCTTGCCGGCCATGTGTTTTCTCTCTCTCTCTCTCCCTCTCTCCTTCCTTTTGTCTCCCTGTCCCTTTTTTCTTTTTTTCTTTCATCTCTCTCTCACTCTTTTTCTTTNGGGAATGGAGATTTTGCAGTATCCTTTCCCAGGAGTGGGGAGGGAATGGGTATTTTGCAGTATCCTTTCCCAGGAGTGGGGAGGGAATAAGGATTTTGCAGTATCCTTTCCCAGGAGTGGGGAGGGAATGGGGATTTTGCAGTATCCTTCCCCTACCATGCCCACCAAGCCATGCCCACAGAATGAGTAGTAAAAAAAAATTGAATTTCACCACTGTCCTGAAGGAACACTTACAAATGTAACCAGAGGGGACATCCACACAAGTGGTAGGTGGAGGACACAAATCTTGTTGGCACCAGACTTTCTCCTCACAACATTTTCCGGTAAAGTTGGGTGGGCAACTGCAGTTAAAGTCATTCCAGGTGACAGTACAAAGACCCCCATTGAGGCAAGGAGAAGGCTGAAAGAAAAAAAGAAAACACGATCAGGAGAAAAGCAACCCTGTTTTCCCTCTGGAAATGAAACGGAGCCTACAGTTTGAGTCCTAATGGATTAAATCAAGGATCTCCAACCTTGGCCATTTCACGATTTGTGGACTTCAATCCCCATAATTCCTCGTGCTGGCTGTGGAATTCTGGGAGTTGAAGTCCACTAGTCATAAAGCTGTCAAGGTTGGAGAACCCTGGGTGAAATGATTAAGAAAGTTGTGTTCTGTAACTTGTATTAGATATGGAATTTAGGTATACTTCCATATCTACATCTTCTTTGCACTTCTTGGTACACCCAGATTTAATTTCTATTTGTACCAATCCACCAATAACAACTATCTCATTTTCTCTCTTTTAATTCCTCTCTCATTCTTCTGACCCCAGGTTGGAGTCAGGGCAACTGAATGGAACTGAATGTTTACTGGCCGGATGTGCTCCCTGTTGCCAATGCGGAGTTTTATTCAGCAGATACATTCTCATTGTGCCCAGAGAGAGAAATATCAGCCTCTACCTAGGATTGAATTCCTGGCCTCCTGATTGCAAGGCCACCTCTAGCCCACTCTCTCTGTTTTGATTCCTCTGTGCCACACAAAAATGTAAACATTGGTGAGGCACCACACTTGCATGCTCCTTTTCTCCCCAAGAGTCGCAGTCTTTGAAGACTAGCCTTTCAGCCAAAGATGATGAGTGTTGGGTGGGGTCTGATTGACTATTGAACGAGGAAGGAAGGTTGGACTCAACCTGAGGAAATCTCTCTAGATGTTCAAATCAGGAGTGATCCAATATGTACAGGCAATAGAATTCAGAACCTCAACCAACATCATTCCCATTCCTGGTGCCTCTAGATCAGTGTTTCTCAGCCTTGTCCACATGGTGGACTTCAACTCCCAGAATTCTGCTGAGGTTGAGAAATGCCATTCTAGTCCCATCGATCCAACCCATGGCAAGATTGAATCACTACAAGGCATGCAGAGAAAGTGCATCCTTGCAACTGGAAATGTTTGTTCTGACCTAGGCAGTGGTGGGTTTCAAATTTTTTTGGAACCTACTCT